CTTTGTTTTCTAAGACAGAAAACATATCTGATACCAGTAAGTATTATTTCGGAGTCTATTCCAGCCTTTTATAGAATATTATTTTTGTCTGTACCAAAGGAAATTGAAGAGTTATAGAGCTATGGAGTTAATAACTCCAGGTTCATTGTTCTGGGGGGTGTGTGTGTGTGTGTGTGTCTGTGTGTGTGTCTGCGTCTGTATGTTGAGTTTCTGAGTACAAAAAGAGGTTTGCAAATCATGGCGTTTTTGAACTTCAAAGGGAAAAAGTGTTCAAGTTAAGTGGTATCAAAGGTAAGAAAACATGGAAGTGCTCTTTTGTTTTTCACATATCGACAAGTATAAATTAGTAAAAAAAAAAAAACCAAACAAACAGAAAAACAAATGTTAAGAACCTCAAAGTCAGAGTTATTCGAAGTTATTTTAGGACAATAAGAAGCTATCATAGTGTATATAGTTAACTGATCATAATACAAATAGATCATAGCTAATTTTATTTGAGAAATAAAAAGCTAGTTCAGAAACTTGTATTTTTTGCTTTCACAGAGCTATTATTTGTTCATATTGTTTCTTATGTGTAACACATTTTTATAGAGTAAAATATGAATGTTGTAGAGCCTAATACTGTCTGTCAGTCATTCCCAGTATCATACAGGAGAAGGCAGAATTTGGTTGAATCTGAGAATGTGTTTCCCATGCCATCTCAGGGCATAACTCCACCAGGGATTGTTTCGACTGTCACCTCAGGGAGCAGCATCAACAACACAGTTGCAACACCTGGCAGTTTTCACACGAAGAGTGACCCCAGGGGACTCAGTGTGTTCAAACAGGAGAAGCAGAAGGTTTGTCACAGGGAGCTAACAGACTAGGCATCTACTAGTGCTACAGTTAAAGCAGATAAGTGTATTGTGTGTTATATGATGTGGATAGAATTGAATTTTTGAACTGTTTAAGATTATAATAGAACCACAAAGCACTTAAAAATCATGCACACTGATGATTCTGTTCTAAAAAAAAAAAAAACCTTATCACGTAATAAAATTGCAGTAATAAGCAGGACAAAGTAAGTGTGAACATTATTAAGCTGGTGTAATTTTTCCTGGGAATGAGATTTGGAAAACACTTGCTAACCAAGGCTTTTGTTGCTTATCTGAGTCAAGTCAGCAGGTGTAGCTGTAAAGATGGGAGCTGGCAGGCACTGCTTTCTGTTTATATTTTCTGGCAGGCACTGTATTTGTGTTTATATAAAAAAGATAAGTGAAATTACACTTTATATTTTGTTATCAAGTACAAATATAGTAACCTTCCTGTAACTGTCATTGTTGATGATTTGTAATGCCCCAAGTTCTTTGTAGCTAAAGCCCTCAAGTCCTTAGTTATAATTTTAATATTAACGTTTGTGTATGTGGCGTGTGTGTGCATGTGTGTACTTAATATACATTTGGATAAAATACCACTCTATGACTAAGATTAACGCTGACTTTGGAGGAATGGGTGTAATATGATTCCCTTTATCATTTTTTATCATTTTTGCTTACAGGAAACTTGAGAGTTTTTAACACCCCCCCCCCCCTTTTTTACTGTATTGGGGACTTAAAAGGGTGCTCTGCCACTGAGCTACCTCCCCAGTCCATACCCCTCCCCCCACCTTTAAATAATTTTGAGGCGGGGTCTCACTAAGTTGCCCAGGCTGACCATGAACTTATGATCCTTCTGCCTTCTAAATCGCTGAGATCACAGGCATGTGCCACTGTGTGTGGCAGAAAGCATGCAGTTTTAACAGATTATTTATACTTCGATTTGGCTTACAGTGGATTTACATGCTAATAAGGCTTTGAAAATTATTATCCTTTATCTAAATGTCTTATACTTTTTTGTGATTTGGAGTTAAAACTGATTCTGGGAATAATGGTCCTAGAGAAATAGTAGATTGGTTGTTTAGAAAAATGATTTCAGGCAACCTTGTTATTCAGTTAATGGTTAAGGTTCTAATCCCGATGTTCATATCATAGGACCCCTGTCAGCCCCACTCCCTCCATGCTGCTGTCCCTTACTCTGAGAATGCAGCCTTGTGTTGGTGACATTCAGTTCCTTTGTTCTTCCCAGGGCTTGCAGTCACTCCTTTGCCTTACACTTGACCTTTCCCCTTCTGTTTCCAGACTGGTGTTCCCTCTATCTAATTGCCTTCAGTGGAATTGTTTGTAATATTGGAATTAAAATTCTGATCCCTTTTGAAAAGGAGTGCAGAGTATAGATGGAGTATAGATGGAGGGACTTCCACAGACAGGCTAACTAATATAAAGCCGTGGAAGAATGCAATGTAGTACATGTTGTCCTGTCTTAAGTAATCCACTTCTTGACCTTTCAGTCTATTCTCAGCCGCAGTATTAAATGTTAATGTAACGTTACTGCTGTTCTTCAGTTTATCAAGAGTCACAGCATGTTGAATCCTTCTAGTTTGCTTGTTTCATGGTTCTCAGAACAACCAGTCTCCTCTTTCTGGACCAGTCTGAAGCACCTCTCAAGGGACAAGCTGTTTCCTGCAGCCGCCCTCACTAATGGAGCTCCTGAATGGAGGCATTCACTTAAAGTCACACCTGCCTAGTGCTTCCCATCAGGCTCTTCAGATTGTCACTACGTGAATGACAGCCCTCCCCCATTACCCCCAGCCAAGTTAGGTTATCTATGCTTCTACATTAAATATACTTAAATAAATTAGATTTCTTTGCATTTGATATGTATGTTGACTGGTTTGTAGGGGCTTAATAATATGTTATGTAACTATTCTGTGTAGCTTGTCTTATAGATTTGGCTCAAAGTATATTTAAGCTTTATTATATATCCTTTGCATTCTGGTCTTAATGGTTATTCTCCATTAGTTGGGTATGAAATATATTGTTATAAAAGCAATATAACAACATCTAGAAAACTTTCAATATGGAAATCAACATCTGATTCCATCACTATAAGAGGATAATTCATTGATGAGTTACTTAAAATCCCACAGAATGGGAAGCCTCTCATCAAACTCCTAACCAAAGTGAAATGTTTGATAAGGCACAGAACAGAATTCTTAATGATATGTTATATTTTAAATGAAAGTGAAAAGGTACGCAAGCAAATCAAAAAGCAGAATGATATGCCTGGAGATTTTATAAAATGAGTATGAGAAACAGGAAGAAAACATGAGCCCATGTTGGGTTAGTGATTTTTAAACTTTTGAGAATTTTCATTTAAAAATAAAAATCCAGTGGTGAAGAGCTCAATGATTCTTTAATTCCTCTCACTGTTGGCCACATGTGTGTCTTCCTGATGTTTCAGTCAGCTTTCTGATATGAACATGATTTTTTCTTCAGTTCTTCACTAGAACCTGAAGATTGTTCGTTGCCATATTATTGAACATTGCCTCCTGCATGGAGGTAGCAGAAGTTGGCTTTGTGCGAGGATGCCCTTTGAGCACACTTGGACAGTCATTTAAAAGTTAATTTTAATTAGGGAAAAGAACAGGAAAGAATACTGGCAGAGAGCAAAGTCTACCTGAAATGGACTTTTAATAGTAGAGGTGGGATTGGTTGCTCACTGGGGAGATGAAAGTGAAGAACGAGAAGGCTAGAACAGAAAAGCTCAGAGGACGTTGAGTAGGCTCTGAGCCCCTCTCAGCCATGAAGCCTGAAGAAGAGCGGACAGGTGTGGAGACAAGTGCAGCTGTGTGGCATGGTGTGTTAGAGCCTCTGCCAAGCAGAAGCATTCCTACGAGGGTCTAGACCCGGGGAAGCCAGTCTCCTGCCTGAGAACGCACCCTTCTGCCTCTTGGGCAAATGGTCTCTTTACCCTCTGCTCGCCTTTGACAGCAGGGATGGTGTTTTCCTGCAGCTTCTAGAAAGTCTTATAAATGAGTTCTGTGGAAGGGCCACAGCATTGATTTTGCAGATGTCTTTGTTAGCAGTTTACAGCTGAGTATCTAGATATTTTATCTTAAAATTTTGGTGGGGGGGTGTTTACTGGGAATGGAACCCAGTACCTGTGCATGCTAGACAAAAGCTCTATACTGAGCTACACCCCAGGCCTGTGAGACTTAACCATAAAACATTTATTTAAAATGAGAAGGAAGGCTTGCCCCACTGCTGCTGATGCCATGTGTGGTGGTGAAAAGGGTGTTGGTCAAAGGGTTTTGAGGAGACGCGCAGGTACTGTGTGTGTATCTCTAGCCCTTCTCACCAGCTTGACGTGGTTAGTAGTGTCAGGAGGGAGGAAGACTTGGCCTTAGTGTGTAAAGGACCTCAGGTGCTACTTACTCTTATTCCACAGTGAGCCCCACATATTAAAGCTGACAGTATTACTAAGGGTTTAAGGTTTATGTTTAGATCATAGACTTCTTAAACTCCTTCCCTCTTTCTCTGCAAGAATATGTTTGTGTTTATCACCTCCATTTCAATATTTAAATTCTTCACATACTGTTTCCCATTAACAGAAGCGCTTTCTTTTGAGTCTTTTTTGCTTAGGTAGTTTCTGATTTCATTGTAATGATTAGGATAATATTCCCCAAGTCCCCAACCCCTCTTTGTGCAGAATCTGAGCACTGAAAATGACCTTCATATTTTGAGTGTTGGCATCATTCAGCATATTTTCATTGAATAACCAAAGTGTTGGGGTTAGGGGTTAAATGCAAAGGTAAATGGTTCTTGCTGTCCCAACCTTTGAAGTGTTCTAGGAAAGAACTTCACAGATACATGATTGTGATGTAGGATGAGTGCTGTGGTAAGGTAAGTGCCAGAGGCCGTGGGAGTAGAGGATGGGAGTGCTGCCTATTTAGCTTCTCTACTGCTGGTACTTAACTGGTTAAGGACTTTTAAAATCATTTGCATATAACCATAATATTTGGTATAAAAAATCTTATTAATGAAATTAAAAATTGTCAAAAGTTTTCAAGAATTTTGGGGAAAGGAAAGATGTAGAATTTTACATGGTTGTTGAGTTTAAAAATTCTCCATATCTTTGTACAGAATGATATGGAACCTAGCAAAGCTGTTCCACTGAACGCATCTAAGCAAGATGGACCCATGCCAAAACCGCACAGTGTTTCACTCAACGATACCGAAACAAGGAAGCTCATGGAAGAGTGTAAAAGACTTCAGGGAGAGATGATGAAGCTGTCAGAAGAAAATCGACATCTGAGGGTAAGTGTGTTGGTTGAAGGAGTCGGAGGTGCACCCCCCAACCATTTTACAGGCCATCTTAGTGTGTCCAGAGTCACCGCTTCCTTCTTCCTCCCGGTTAGACTGTGTTCTGCCTTGTCCCCATCCTTGTCAGCCTGTCTCTTTCCCGTCTCACCCTGACCCTCCAGGCTTTAGCAGGCAGACCTCCTAGTTAGTCATTTGTGATCTGCTCACCTCCTCTGATTTCTACTGACCTTGTATCTCTGTATTGTCACCCTGAACTGCCTGAGACGTGTTGCTTGCTGTCCTCAGCAGTCACTAGTTGCGTGGAGCTGCCAAACATGAGTTCATACTAGGTGTCTGTGGGCATAAAACACAAGGTAGTGTTGAAGACTCAGTACCAAAAAAGTAGAATCTCTTTATTGTTTTGTTATTTACTGAGATAAAAATATTTTGGATTTACTGGGTTGAATAAAATATATTACTAAAACTTACCAAGCTCTCTATTTTTAATGTACAGTGGAAATGTATAGTGGCATGTGGTTCACGTCTGCAGTGCACAGTGGTCTGTGTTGACACTCTTGAACTACTGTGTTCTGAGGAAATGCCTCCTGTCATCCCTCTTTTGCTCTAGCATAGGCTCTTCTGACTGCAGGTGAATCCTGTCCCTTTCCTCACAATACACACTGTGCACAACTTCACCTGGGACATAGTGCTGTTGTCTTCAGTGTAGTCTTCTCTCCGTTCAGCAGGAGCATGGTCGAGGCCTGTTGCTGCCTCTGTGCCCAGCCGGCAGTGCTTCTTGGGCACGTGCACAGAGTCATTGTTCATGTGTTTAAGTGGTGAACTAGATGACTGGCAAGGGAGGCTGGAGTTGACCATGTGTGCAGTTGGTGAATGATTTGCTTTTGGCAAGTGATTACTTGATTTAAGACCTGAGTACTTTTAAATTTTCTTTTATCCTGATCACATTACAACATATATAAAAGTGTATATAAGGAAATCATCTAAATTCTAATATTTAGTCTGCATTTGATATTCCTTCTGTTAAATGTACTCAGGAAGTACACTCTGAATTGAGGCACAGTATCTTAAGTTGATCTCTGAACTCCACTGAAGAATTTTTTGAATGGATGTTTGGGACTTATTTCTTCACATTCCATAGCGCCTCCTCGAGGTCCCCCATTCCAGAAAGTGGAAAGAGTGTCTCTCACATCCATACACCAAGGGGCTTTAGGATGATGTGCTTTTTTGCTTTTCCTGCGGTGACTTCTGTTCTTTGGTGAAAGGTGTGCTCCTTAGGATGCTCTGCAGACTTACTCTCAAGGCCACTGCAACTGAAGGGATGGCATAGGTGGGGAGGGACAGGGAATAGGTAGGGGAACCAGGGACAGCAGCAGGCAAGGCTTGGTTCCTGGCCTCTGCTCTTATGGGATTTTATTTGAAAAGGATTCTACTGTTTAAAAAAAGAAAAATGAGACACCCAGAAAGATCACTGGCTTACAGAATAAACCCTAGGCCCCTAGCATCCCACACAAGGCCCATCATACTGTGTTGTCAGATTTGCTCTTGCTCGTGTCTGGTCATTACTCTCTGTAACTCCTCTAGTCCTGTGATAATTCAGTCCAGATTGCATCTCAGTCATCCACTGGGCTTTTAAAAAACAAAACTATATACTCCTAGACCTAGGGAGTCAGAATCCCGGGGAATAGTTAAAAGTCTTCAGATGTTGGTGCTGTGTAGCTGGAGCTTATTGCTCTTTTTACTTGGAACTTCTTTTTACTTTGTGTAAGATCAAAAAAAGCCCAATTCCAGAAAATCTAGTAATGGCTCTTATTCCAGTTAGTGCTTACAGATGGATGCTCCTTGGCTTTTGGTGGAATTGCATACTGAGAAGCCCTTCATAACCTGAAAATATCAAAAAGTCAGACATGGATTTGATGCACTCATCAATCATCCCAGCTTAGGAACAAAGCACACCGTAGGGTGTTGGTGGCTCCCCTTGTGATCATGTAGCTTCAGGCATGGCAAGAGAGGACTGTGCCCTGTGTTGCTTATACTAGAAAGAGGTCAAAGTTCAGAGCATTTTTTACTGAATATATATCATTGTCACACTACCCTACAGTCAAAAATTGTAAGTTGAACCATCATAAAGTTGAGGATCATGTGTTTATAAGCAGAGTAGAGCAATTGTGCGAGACAAGAAAGAGGAGCTTGCGTTTGAGACTAGGCTGGTGGGGGGTGTCAGTGTTTCCCAGCATGTGCCCTGCACAGCACTGGGCATCATCGCTGCCTCATGCTTTGGGCCTGTGCCGCCTTGTCATGAGAAACTCTGCTCCGTGGTACACAGACTGTCCTGCACTTGGCTGTGAGAAGCCATTTCACTTGGAGGGAAGTGGCCTATTGCTGCCTGGATCCAAGTCACTTTGACACTAAAGGCAAGACATCAGTCTCTAGTCCAGGTGCAGAGCTTCCGATGGGTGCTCTGTGTGCAGTATCCCACCTCTGCCTTAATATGCCGCTTTTAAGGAAATGTGATTCTTCTTGCTATGTAGTCCATACCCAGAGCTCGCCCTCTGCACACCAGCATCCCTGCTTTGAATTATTTAAATTTCATACTGAAATCTTCCTGGCCCCCCAATCCTGTAGTGTCCCATCTCTTCCCCCTGTTCCTCTGCCATGTAGGTTCCTGAGCCAAAGTGAACCAATAGACTTGTCAGAAAATCTAGTAATGACTGTGATTGGGTCAAGACAGGTGTAACCTTTTTTAAATACCTTGGGCCATCATAGAAATAAATGTATGTACACAATTAGTTTTAGGGAGTATATATTTTTTCATTTTCAATTTTATTTGTTGATTGATTGTGGTACTGGGATTGAACAGAGACACTGTACCACTGAGCTGCACCCCTAGTCTTTTTTATCTTTTGAGATAGGGTCTTGCCAAGTTGCTGAGGCCGGCCTTCAACTTGTGATCCTCCTGCCTCAGCCTCCTGTGTTGCTGGGATTTCAGGCCTGGGCCACTATGCCTGTGTCATTGAGGTATAATTTACATCCTGTGAAGACACTCCTTGGGAGTGTATGGTTAGTGATATTTGGGAGATTTAGAGAATTGTGCAGCCAGCACTATAATCCAATTTTTCAAGTCTTTCCAAGACTCCAAAAAGTTTCCTAATGCATTGGCAGTTATCCTTGCTCACTCTGCCCCTAGGCAAGCCCTGATCTTTCCATCTCTATAGACTTAACCATCCCCCCCCCCAGTTGCATATGTTTGTTTTTAAAATCTTTTTGTGCATTTTTTTCCTCCGCAGGATGAAGGCTTGAGGCTCAGAAAGGTAGCACATTCGGATAAACCTGGATCCACCTCAACTGCATCCTTCAGAGATAACGTCACCAGTCCTCTTCCTTCACTTCTTGTTGTAATTGCAGCCATTTTCATTGGATTCTTTCTAGGGAAATTCATCTTGTAGAGCGAAGCATGCAGAGTGCTATTTCTTTTTTTTTTTTCTCTTGACCAGAAAAAGATTTGTTTACCTACCATTTCATTGGTAGTATGGCCCGCGGTGACCATTTTTTTGTGTGTACAGCGTCATATAGGCTTTGCCTTTAATGATCTCTTACGGTTAGAAAACACAATAAAAACAAACTGTTCGGCTACTGGACAAATTGTACATTACCAGATCATCACTAGCAGATGTCAGTTGCACATTCAGTCCTTTATGAAATTCATAAATAAAGAATTGTTCTTTCTTTGTGGTTTTAATAAGAGTTCAAGAATTGTTCCGAGTCTTGTAAATGTTATTTTAATAATCCCTTTAAATTTTATCTGTTGCTGTTGCCTCTTGAAATATGATTTGTTTAGATTGCTAATCCCACTCATTCAGGAAGCGCCAAGAGGTGTTCTGTGGGAAGTGGTGCCTCTTAGTGTAAATCTCCCTCTACCTTTGCTAATATCATGGCAGAACTTTTCTTATCCCTCGTGAGGCAGTTGTTGACTGAGTTTTTCATCCTTACAATCCTGTCCCATGGTATTTAACATAAAAAATAAAACTGTTAACAGATTCTTGCTCGATAGCCTGCTTGTGTCCGTGGTGTCATTGGAGGGGGACCAGTGTCCACTGTGTGGTGATTGGAAATTCATGGTGCACCATTCTCTTGCGTTGAAACCCGTCCAGATGCTACCTGATTGTAATTTATAGTCTGTGTTTTATTAAGGAAAGGAATGGATAAAATTTCAGCTTTTTTGATATTTTGGAAGATAATTGTCTTTTTAAGAAGTATAAAGTAACCAAATGCCACGAGAATAAAAGTGAAATGATTTTAGTGTGTGTGCGTGCCACGTGGCTTGCATTTGTTTCCTTTACCCTTTAGTAGGTTCTTTAGTGCCTTCTCAGGAAGACCTACTCAGCTTGAGGTGTTTTCAACAGCTTAATCATTCTTATTACTTTATAACATACCTCATAGCTAAAAGTTAAATGACTTCTTCCTGCCCAATTTGACACTCAAATTTCCATTGTGGAAATTTAGTATTACTGAGTAAACCTGGAATTTTCTGGGGGAAAAAATTCGTCTCCTTCGCAAGATCTGTTAACCATGTGAAATATATTCTCAGATGGGTGTTCATTATGGGGTCTGCCACTTTCTGCAATTATGTCTTTATTTTATTTGTACTATTCCAAAATAAAAATTTTTGGAACCAGAAAAAAGATGGTCAGTTTTCAACTGAGTATAGCGTAGTACAAGTGAATTTTTATTCTTGAACATAGGTGTTGGTTTTGTAAAAGACGCACACTCTACGTGAGGGAAGTGGGGTTTGGGGGCTACATGTGGTGCGGTGAAGCATGGCAGCTCAGGTCACACATACATTTTGTAAAAATAGTGACATGTTCTCAGGTATTGTGTTACTTTTTATTTCAAAATTGTTTTGGATTTGTCAGATCCCATGCATTGTTATTTTGAATAAAAATCTCTTGCATGTATCCAAAACCTACTAAAAACAGTGGTGCGGAGACATTGCTTGCCTGCTGTAGGTCATGTCTCCACTGCTGTCGGCTTTGTTGCCAGGTAAAGACCCGGCCCCTCGCAACTGGGAAAGTGCTGCTAAAGGAAAAGGGAGTCTGGCAGGTACAGTGCTCTGGAGGCTGGGGCAGGAGTATTGGGAGTTCAGAGCCAGCATCAGCAATGGGGAGGTGCTAAGCAACTCAGTGAGACCCTGTCTCTAAATGAAATACAAAGAACTAGTGCTGAGGATGTGGCTTGGGGGTCAAGTGCCCCAGAGCTCAATCTCTGGTACTAAAAAAAAAAAAAAAAAAAAGAGTCTGACATTTTTATCCTGTAAACACACATCAATCCCTTGTCTTAAAACTCTCCATGTAGTCAGCGTCACTGATGAGAGTATCAAGTTTGATGATTCACAGATACCTTTAAGAAGGTTTTAGGTTTTCAAAAATTAAGCAAAATCCTGTCTTATTGGACTGCTCCTTAGAAGTCATTGTGCTCATCCCCTTTGTTTATAGCTGAGGAATCTGAGGCTTTCCCAGAGCTTAGAGTTTTCCTTGCCTTCCAGGTAGAGGCAGAGCTGTAACTGGAAACTTTGTAGGGGAAAAACTTGTTTGACGAAGATGACTGTCCTGATGAGCAGAAGTGCCCTTCAAGGTGCCTGTGAGACTTACCGCCCTGTGGAGTGGCGCTGGTGCTCAGGCCGGCCACCTCCCTGCTGGCCACACCTGCACTGATGTCTGTGTTCTCGGGAAGGCATCTACAGAGTGCCTCACGGGCTGGTCCAGGTAGGTTGTAGCCTGGACAGCACCTCACAAGTCCATGTGGCCTCCAGGGCCTCCCCAGTCATGTGTGCTGAGTACAGAGTTCCTTTCTGTGCTTGTCAGTCGCTCTGTGAAGTGTGCTCAGATGGGCTACCTACAGCCACCCTTCCACAGGGTCCTGCTCTATCCATGGATGGTCTGCAGGTTACGTGGTCTCCACTGTCAGGAGTTTTGTCTTGAGAACCTGCTGGCTGGTGTGTGTGGAGCGGGTACTCAGGTGGCCAGCAGCCCAGGCCTTGGGTTTGGGGGCACTGGGAGCACTGCTTTCCTTCCTCCTTTCTCTCACGTGCCCTACTTTTGCCCATTCTTGTATTTATAAGAAGCAAATTTAAGAATTGTGTTCTGAGGGCTGGGGATGTGGCTCAAGCGGTAGCGCGCTCGCCTGGCATGCGTGCGGTCCGGGTTCGATCCTCAGCACCACATACAAACAAAGATGCTGTGTCCACCGAAAAACTAAAAAATAAATATTAAAATTCTCTCTCTCTCTCTCTCTCAAGAATTGTGTTCTGAGTGTGTGGTGTGTTACCTGTAAACAAAGAAAATACACTGAGAAAAAAGGGTCAAATTTAGGAATTCTGGTCAAAATAATATTTTTAATTTCTTTGAGACGTCCTCCTGAAGTTGTTACATGTTGGGGGGCTGTGACCTTTGGAAGTATACCATTATGTCTAACAATAAGGTTACAAAAAACCCCCCATTTTATGGAGTATGTCCCCTAATTTTGGTCTGCCACTGTAGACAGACTCAACTAATTGCTTTCCCAGAGCTTTGCACATTTCTGTCCAGTGATTTTGGTGTGTTCATAGATTTTAAAAATTTGACCTTTATGAAGAGATTTTGGTGTGTTCATAGATTTTAAAAATTTGACCTTTATGAGTGCTTACTGCAGGAAAACAAAAAAAATCCAGGTCCATAGGCAATCTTTATTTTCTAGCTTTCAAGGGAAGGTAAACCATTATTTATTGTGAATAAATAGACTTGAAAAATGGGTTGTGTAATTTTCTTTTTCACAACACAAAAATTTTGCTTCCACATAGCAGGATGGTTTGTGTATTAGCTCACAGCTGGGTGTCTGCTGGGACTGGGGTCTGATGGCAGGTGTGCTCCTGACCTCAAGGTACTTCTTGGTAGGAAATGAGAGCAGCTGAGTTTTCAGTTCCGTATTTGGCAGCCTGCTGTGGGGGAAGTTGAGCTCCAGGGGAGTTCTCTGCAGGACAGTGAGTGACACTTGGGAATGTCCAGCCTGCTAGGGATGGTGCAAAGACATTTGAACATACATCCCTGGGGAAAAGGCATTTTACTTTCTTCTTCCTGCATGTTGGATTGCAGAATAGCGTGCATTTTAAGCAATTTGGAAAGTAAATGTAGAAAAGGCCGAATTCTGTCCTCCAGTTGCTATGGACATTTTATTTTCCTGTAATATTAAACTCCAAGCACATCACAGATTATATACTACTTTATCCTATTTTTTCATCTTGATCATTTGTCCAGTTTATTGAAAACCAAGTGTAAGTGATGACGAAAGTATTTTGCTTTATTTTTAGTCACTTTCTTGCTTAAGGTTAGGGATGTTTTACAAGGGCTACTGGGTTGGCCCGCCTCCTCCTGGTTATGCATACAGCCCTATCAGTCTTTCATTTTAGAACCAAGTTCTTGTTTTCCAGTTGTTACTATGTGGAACACCCACCTAGGACTTTTATTTCCTATAATATGGTGAAACTTTTTCAGAAATTTTTCTTTTAAACAAGAAATTGGAGAGGCCGGGGTTGTGGTTCAGGGGTAGAGTGCTTGCCTAGCATGTGTGAGCAGGCACTGGGTTCGATCCCTGGCATCACATAAAAATAAAAACAAAGGAGTTGTGTCCATCTACAACTAAAAAAAAAAAAATTGGAGGAGTCACCTGTAAGCATGGCTTAGAGAGCCGCCTCTGTGAACTCAGGTTGCTAGGACACAGGAAAAAGGCTTTTACTTCGTAAATAAGTGGGAGCTGTGAATGCCAAAGCAGGGCAATTTTGAGAAGTTTTTAATTTCTAAGTGCAAGTTGTGTGAAATTATAAAGCACTTTGAGGAATTTCCTGAACGTGTGATTTAAGTGTCCACCTAGGAGATGGATTTTGCTTCTGTATTTCTCAATATTTAATGATGTTTTCAAGGTGCTTGTTGCTGTGTGTCAGTTTGCTTGGTCTTCACAGACCTCAGGAGAAGGATACCTCCTGGATGGCAGGGATTTAAGTAAAGGGAAGGGTAGGGCTTAGGTATTCCGGTGCAGGGCTGTGGTCCTCAGCCACGTGAAGGAATCTCCTGTGTGCTGGTCAAGGCAAGTGTCTCTAAAGAGGAAATAAGTATGGTAACTTTGTGATGCCTTTGTTTTCCATTAAAGACGTAGGTATTTCTCAGTGATGTCTTCAAGACATTGCAGGTTTTAAGTTTTCAGACTTTCTTTTTTCCTGTTTATCCCCAGAAGTAGTGAGGAGGGATAAAACACTGCTCATCATCTCAACCTCGAACGAAAAGCCAACATGAACATGTTTTCCTTCAGAATTTGATGATGGTTTAAACCAAATGGCTAGGTTTTTAAAACTGACTTCAAAGTTAACATTCTTGATACTGTTTGTAGTTACAAAGAAATGACATGTAATAATACTTAAGAAATTTGAATACAGGGACATTATATTTTGGGGAAGAAAAGTTACTGACAATATTAAGTTCATTAAAAAACGGTTGAAATTGCAAATTAAGTAATGGAAATCTGTTTTCATGTTCTGGAGCAGTAAGTTTTCTTAGTTCCTTGTTTGAGAAAAGTAGAAGTTTGTTAGGAATTATGTAAAAATTTTTAATATAATTGGCAAAGTACTTTTTGTATGCTATTGTAATTCAATGTATATTACTAATTGTATATAGTCAGTCGATAAAAATGAATATTAAACTTTGAAGTAAACAATGTCACTTGAAAAGTCTTAGGTGTGGTGACATACCTGTAATCCCAGTGACTCTGGAGGCTGAGGCAGGAGGATTGCAAGTGCAAGGCCAGCCTCAGCAATTTAGCAAGACCTTGTCTCAAAATTGAAAGGGCTTGGGATGTAATTCAGTGGTATGGCACCCCTGGGTTAAATCTCCAGTATAAAAAAATAAACCTTTGGAGAATCCAAAAAGTCATTTTGCAAAGTACTTTGCAAAAGTGTTTCTTTGGGTACTTTGAGATCAAAAACATTTTATGAGACAAAGTTCAAGAAATCAAGTTCAGGTTTTCTT